GTGAAGGGGCCCTAAGTGGAAAGTATGTTTCGCTCTACACACTTGAATTACAAACCTTGAATTTCATGTTTTAAAGTCTTTTTCTAAAGTCACTTTATATTATTTTTGAAAAATGTATTGTAGAATTTGGAAGCTAACAACGGCAAAGCTAGCACTGTGTTTTCCATTTTGTATTTTTGTTTTCCCCCATAGTTAAGGTGTCGGAGAGACTTTCTGTGGAAATGATTTTGTTCACACTCGTGTTACCCAACTTTGAAAGGAGGTGATGCTCAAAAGAACCTGCTCCTCTGAAATTCATTCTCATCCATTTGAATTCTCTTCTGGTAGAAATAGCATATATGGGTTAGAGTTGCTATTGTTTTGTTTTTGCTCTGTAGTTTAAAAAGAAGGTTTGGCCTAGAGACATATTTTTACCGGGCTAACTCCTTAGATAGCAAAAGTATTTTGACTTTCATAATGAATATAAGGAAATCAGGATTTTTGCTCACCTCAGGTGTTGGAATAAAGTGATAGTATCCAAAAATTTGCCCCCTGAACAGAATTCTAAAGATTTAAATATTCTTTCCAAATTTGGTGATGTGATTTTACAGAAAACACACCTACAAATTTTGGGGGGCACAGCCTTTACAATTAAGCCTTAGGCCTTACCTGTTTGCAGGTAAAGAATGACCAAATCAAATATTAAAAGCTTTCTTGAACAGCCTTTTTGTAGAGGGCAAGTTTATGTTTAAACTTTAGCTGTAAACTTCAGGTTTATTAATCATGGAAGTCATAATTTAGCCACGCATAGCAACAAATCATCCAATGATTCAATAAGGTCATCTTGCATTTCTTAGAATGCTGTAATTAGATAACCAATTTGTAATTAAGTAAAAATGAAAGCTGACCTTTCTCCTTGAGATGAAATAATGCTAACCATATGAAGAACAGAAGATTTATGATTCAAATGAGCCTAAATAAAATTTAAAGGAATGGAACTATACTTCTTCTTGGGAACCATCATCTTTTCTCCTTGTCAGCACTCATTTAACAAAATATTCCACGTATTGCAACACAAAAATTTCAATTGTGCATTCATATGAGATTCCATTGTGACATGCTGCTATGCAGAGTAGGTATTTGGTGCAATCCATCATCTATTAAAATTCTGTCAGTGTAATGGTGAGATTTCAGAGTATAGTACAGGACCCTGCACGGAGAAGCAGGAACAAATAACTGATTGCATTGACAAAGTCAGCATTTTTACTTCCTCACGGCAAAAAGTGAACTCCTAATTTATTCGAACAGTGCTCTCTCCTCAGTGTCTGTACAGGTGAACAGCAACAAAATGCAAACAGAAGCACTCTTTCTGCCTGAAGTGGGGTTTGACAACTTTCCAGGGGACCAGAGAAAGTCCCAGAGTCCGATAACTAACAGAGAATCAACCGTTTTCTCTTTAACAAACACCAGGATGAGAGTTCTCACTCAGGCAAGGAGACTTTTATCCCCTCTTTCTTAAAAGTTAAAAAAAAATCTCAGAATCTTTTCTCTAAATCTACGAAACAGTATCTTACTCACAACTTAGAAAATTCAATCTCTAAAAAAGCAGACTTAAATGGCCAACTTTGGCTTTAAGCTTATGCTTTTTGTTCTTCTCTCATTCCTTTACCACTCCCTTCCCTTCTTTCCATCATTTAGTTTCTCTCTTACAGATCATTGCTTCTCCGGTTTAACCATTCATCCACCCTGGTAAAGACAAGATGCATTGTGCTCTATTCTGAGACTCTCAGGAAACACCGTTTTCTCTTCAGAAACCTGGTTGAGATCTTAGAATCTTTTGAGACAAGATGAAAAGAAAACCTGCAGGGTTTCTGGCTCCAGTGCATTCAGAGTGAGGCGGGGAGGGGGGGCGGGGGTGGATGAAGGGGGGGATATATGGCTACGCACTTAAGAGTTTGTACATGAGATTTTTCTCAAAGTGGTGGAAGAGAAAACGTGAGAGAGGAGAATAGCTGTGAGCAAATTAGCATGAGGGCGACATATTGGAGATATATAGGTTCTGACACCTTGAATTTATGTGTAGATTCTAGTTAATGACATGAAGGAGGTACTCAATGAGCCTTTTTTTTTTAAGAGTAGGTGTTGAGTGGTTTAGTAAGTAAATAAAATAGTACAAATCTAAGCAATTTGTCTTATATATAGCCACAGAGGCTATCTCCACCAAACTCATTAACAAAGTAAGTTAAACAAGCAGTATGAATGGGGTAAAAATCAGTTATTATTGTTTATTCTCAACTTTCTATTCCAATACTCATTTATATAATTGGGCCAATCTAAGGTATAATGTGAAGACTACTTATATAAATAAATAAATAACAATAATTTATTGAGTGTTTGCTATTTACCAGGTACTATTTTAAGTGCTTTGATAACTTATTTCATTTAATGATGCATAATTATTTAAGTATTATTATGTTCACATAACAGATGACAAAAAATGTAGCTCAGAAAATTTAATTGCCCAAAGTCCCATATTTAGGAAACAGTTTTTATCTCAAAGAGCCTAACCAAGAATCCAAGCTATTAATCATCATTCATTCATTCATCCTTTTCCGATCCAGGTATTTTGGGGGTTTTTTGCCTTAGATTGCTTGAATACATTTGTATTTTAGTATCATAGAGTGATTAATTTAACCTTCACTTTGATGATGAAACTGAGACCAGTTGGGTAAGGTTATTTATGCAATCTAGACAACCAGCAACGCCATTGCAGGGCAAAGATTGATGGTATAAACTCTGTGTGTCCATGACACTGTTCAGCCAATTTTTCCACGTTAAAGACAACAAAGTGGTGGGTGGCCCAGCCACTCATTTTTCCAGGAATCTGTCCTAGCCACAAACACTACATTTTAAACTGAGTGACCTAAGCTCAAACATGATGCATAGTCTAGTCATGGGAAGTGATAAGATGTCAGTGAGCAGTAGCCACAACAAGGAAGATAGATCCAAGGGGACAAAACACACACACACACACACACACACACACACACACACACACAGCTATTGCTAGAATAAGATGTATGAGAAACGATACATCCAAAAAAAGGGCTGACTCTATGCTAGGGTGGATAAGGTGGTAATGAAAAATTTTTTCAAGGTCCTGAGTGATAGTGAAATAAAGACACATACGAAAACATCTTCCCTTCCCCTCACAGCTCTAGAAAACTGGAGAATCTTATATACTTTGACATCTGGCAAAATATACAGATGTTGCCAGATGTGCATTCCTTTTGGCCACAATGAGATGATGCTTAACCTCCGTGTGAGGACTAAGCTAGCATTAGTGCTCTATAGATGAACACACTATTTTTTTAAGAAGGTAGTTGTTTCCTGGTAGAAAGTCTACTCTTTAGAACTTGGCAGGACATCTTCCCTTTTCCTGTGTTGGCTCAGTCTGTGCTATACATTGGTTTGGCAGCATACATTGAATTTTACCTCATGCCTTGGACAGGAAAGTGTATCTTGGATTTGTTGTATGTTGGTATGATTTACAGAGCAGAGACCAGATGAACTCAGGAAGCCCCCAAGGTGAGGAAATAAGAGTAAAGAGAGGGATTTACAAAATATGGTCTGACGTTCTGCTATAGTAAGCCACATATATTTTATCCCTTAAATAAAAAGCAAACTATCAAAACATTAGGAGCAACATGGAATGTTCCTTATTTAAAAAAAATGGAGAAAGCTCAAATATAAAAACCAGGTGCTGTGATCCTTTGAGTCCAGGAAATGGACGCCTGTGCATTTAGCTCCCTGGTCATTAATTTGTGCTACCTTATTTATATTTAGCTTTTAAAAGAATTAAAATGTACCATTTCATCTTCTCCGTACAACCAATACACTCAATAATAATAAGGATAATGGTAATAATCATGGATAGCATGTCATACTTAAAAAATTGTTTTCACATGTGAAACTCCCTCATTGGATCCTTCCCCAAACCCTGAATATAGTTAAATATAGTGACAGAAAAGGAAACAAAGGTACAGATGTGAACATACCCAAAAGAGTATACCAGAGATTGTGTCACACAACTTTCAGCCTAGGGCCCCTCCCCTACCTCACACTATCATGAATATATTGCTATTGAAATCTATCTTGTACTTCTATAGAGCTAGAAAACCTGGAAGAACTAGATAAAGGTAAATGGAATCATTAACTTTCTGTCTAGATTCTAATGGGATATCTAATATTTTTCACTTGGGACTGATGTAATATTGTTCTACCAAATGGGAAATCTAGCAAGTAGAAAAATAGAGTTTAAATATTTTGGGAAGACATTTTCCACTAAAGAAGAGACTGGTCTATTTACTTAACATAAAAAAATATCTGCCAACCTTGCTATCTAGCTATATATCTCCATCCATCACTAGACAACTACCTTCCTATTTCAAATATATTGTTTTGAGTCAGCACTTGGCCATGACACTGAAATTCACCCCCAAAGCACACCAAATTGCATTTGAAGAAAACAAAGCATAATAGAAGGAAAAGGAAAACAGAAAGGCTTTCTTCCTATAATGAATTCAATTGATCAGAGCTCAGAGTTCCTGCATGAAGTAGAAATACTCTATTTATAACAAATAGTAGACATCAACTTGACAGATTGACTGCTATGACTACTATTTCCAAGAAAGTTTATCTATTTATCTATTATCTCTCTATGTATATCATCTATCTATCTATCTATCTATCTATCTATCTATCTATCTATCTATCTATCATCTATCCATCTATCTATCTCCATCTCTGTCATCTCTATCTCTGTCTCTCTTTGTCTATCTCTATCCCTCTATTGTACATGCTTTTGTAGAATTTCAGGAACAGCTTTTTATCTGGAAAATATGGCTGCCTGAAAGAGGTATGGAATATAACAAAAGCTTTACCCCAAAGCTTCTATGCATTACAAAAGCTTGCACTTGGATAATAGAAATATTTAGCCTCAGGTGACTGAGAACACTTACTGTTGGTTGCATAACGTATGGCGGATGAGGCATCCATGAAGTACTCTGGACCTATGCATCAAACAGCATTTATTAGCACAAAGCAATCACAGAGAGAACTTGGTTCTTGCGTTCAGTGGAGTCACACTAGGTCATAAGAAAGTGGAGTCCATCTGACTTTATAGCTAATTAGTGCTCAAAACTAAGGATAGAAAGGACATTCTTGGACTTGGTTAATTTGGTCCCTGAAACATGATAAAATGTAAAGCAAATTCCTACCTCACTGGAGCTGGCTGCAGTGCCCACATGGACTAGGCAGGGCTCTGGAGAATATGTTAAAGGTGGTGTTGGAGACTAAAGTATTAGAAGGCCTCAAAGACTTCCTATTTAGAGGTCAACTTCCAAGGATACCCAGGCAAAGAATAAAGGAGGAAAGAGTTGACTGCTAAGACTTCCTCTTTTTTTGTCATTTGTTCTAACTTCAAATTCTCAAGTGATTCCAATCTTGGAAATAAGTCCAAGTGGTAAAAGTTGGGGTAAGAATTAAAGAGATCAACCAGAAATTTTGGGGAATACTTTACTTTGGGATAAACTCAAGTTAAGTAAGTTTGTGATTATTTTCTCTTATAGTAATTGGTACGGTAGATAAAAACGAGTAATGAGCCAGCCAATGGTTCTGAAATGTGTCTTGTCAGCCAAATGAGACAGCTAGCTTTAAGAGCCAATTGTCACATAGAGAACATCGAATATTTTGTTTTCGATTTAATCACACAAGCAAAATTGCCAAAGTAGTTTATATTTAAAAAAGGGCAGGGGGAAGAAGTGGTGAAAGGCAAGAATCAGCAACGTAGGAAATTGCTCTAACTCCTTTTTTGAGAAAAGAGAACTGGGGTTAAATTCCACTTATGAGCCCTCCCAAGTGAAATCATTTTTCTGTGGATATTTTATTCATGTCACCAAAGTGTTCTATACTGGGGCTTAATGGGTGGTCTTGGCTGAAACAGAGGCCAAGATTAGGGGAAAAAAATGGATAAAAAAAGCAAATCACACATTACAACCAGGCAGGCCTGCAGGAAAAGCAAAAAACTGAACAGCACCTGCACATAGTCTCATGGGTCCCAAGAAAAGGCAATTAAGAAGGTGGCCATTTTGAGATTCTATAATGCAAGTCACATGAAAGTCTATTCTGTTCACCCACCGACATGTACCAAGAATCTAAGTGCAGAAAAAGAATGAAATGATCTGCTTCTGGAGGGATCAGTTCAGGAAAAATGTACATAGCCTCAAGTTTGATGCTCTGACAACTGGGCCATTCTGAAATGAAGTATGTAGTGGCTGAATAAGGTGACACTTAACTGAATTAGTAGCAGTCAGCAACATTACAGTTTTACCCATTGTAATACATCCACCCCCACCATCTGCAAAATATAGAGAAACACATGGCATGCACACACTTGCACTCTCTCTCACGCTTTCTCTCTCTCTCTTGAAAGTTGTAAAAAATGACACTAGATACTCTCTATACTCTCTAGCATTTATAGCAATTTCTAATTAGAATTAGAAGAATTCAAAGAATATTATGAGGTAAAGAGAAATAGGGAGTGATATCACATATTTGATAATGCAAAGAAATAAGATAAGAGGTATTTTTTGAGGAGAAGTATGACTATTTCAATCCACTTGTGTACCTAGAATTAACTGGCTACAACTGGTTTAGGACACACATGGAGTTTCAGGTTTTCCTGTGTTTCAACATGTGGAACCCCTCAGGTCTCTTTTGGCCTCTTTGGAACTGACTATGAAGTACGAGCAGAAAGTAGGAATAACTTTTTACCACTTTGATAATCTTTCCTATTTCTCAGGAAAACAATGATTTCACATCTATCCACATAGCTTTACATGGATAGCACAGAACATCTGTTACCCAATGAGATGACAATGATACAATATGCTGGAGTAAATGCAGGGAATGCTAGCAAAGCACTTTTAGAAAAGACACAACAGGAAATGTGACAACCAAAGTAATAGACAGCAAACATACAAATTTCTCAGTGGTAAGAAAGCTGTGCTAAAGTTGGCTGGAAAGGAGCATAATCATGAGAACTCAGCAGGAAGGATGAAAAGCACGGTGGATTTCTTACTCAGTGAAATAGATGCAAACAAGCACTTGAAAGTATAAGCTAATTGATAACTTGAGTATCATTACATTAGGAGGTGACTAAAGGGTCTTAGGGCAATTAAAAAAATTCTACTGTGTCCCTTTCACCTTTGTGTAGTCGATTACTGGCAAGAAAGATCTGTCCTGAGGTGCAGGTAAATCGGACATACCTGGTATGTGGAGACAGGGGAAGCAGCAATGAATGGCGTGATAGATGTCTGTGGGATCATGCGGTTGGTTGCAATACTGTACGGTGAAGAATAAAATCTGCAAACAGAAAACAACACAAAAAGAAGATTCATCAAGCTGCTGCATGCCCGGCTGCTCATCAAATGCTACCAAGCACCTCTGGGGAAGACAGAGTTCCACCCTCTTGTTTCCCCACCAAGTTTTAACAGAAGAATCCAGGAGATTTAGGGTATTTGATTCTGCTAAGAGAAATAAATCCATCTGAACAAAAATGACAACTTTCAGTCATCTTATAAAATTGGTTGCACAAAATCTCTTATGTCAGGTGAGTGTAATAGAACGTTGCACCAATAGGGGGAGAAAAACCACAGGCACTCTTTTTTTTTTTTTTTTGGTTGTTGTGTTTTGTTTGTTTTTAATTTTTTAAATTTTATTATTTTTATAGAGGCAATGCCATTCCAAGGCTCTTTTAAAGAAGGGCAAAATGACAATACCAAGCTTTATAAAGGTGGCTGATGTTACACATACACACATTTCACCTATCTTTTCATTCAGGAAATACAATCAGCTCCAAGAGAGCCCTGGATAACTTGTGCGACGCATGAGTCCATACCCTCACACTAAGCTGAATACTTTCTCCAGGAAAAGAGTAGAAAGTAGACAACTTCTGTCTAGGTGGGGGTTCGACTATTTTCTGGATTCAGTCATGGCATTGGTGGTGATTCTGGACTTATATGAAATACTCCTGTAAAAGGAAGTGAGTTTTCTAGTCCTCCAGGGCCCTTCATTGAACATCTATAGAATGATACTTGGCAAGATCAGGGCTTCACAAATCTGAAGAGGATGATCCTTCTAGAACGCTGTTAAAGGGTAGCTTCGAGATACTGAAATCAGTGACACACCATCTTTGCTCAGATGATACCCTCGAGTTCACCAGCTACCTCATGTTCACATTTCTTAGCTGGAGTCTAAATCACATTTCTTCCTTCATGACTCACTGGTATGTGAAAGGTTAGAGTGGCCAGCCACAGGACAGACAAAACCATGTTGCCTGCAATGGAGTATTTCACTGATGTGAGGATAGATTGGGAAAATACGTATCAGGGATAATGGAATATTATTTCACTTTCACATACTGTTAGCAAAAGTCAACTATACTTTTTTATTTTATTTTTTCAAAATAGTATGACTGAGATTAGAGTTTTGAGCACAAAAGTTTCTTTACCCCTTAGGAGTCACTGATATTTTGACTAGAGGATCACATGGGTTACCTTTCGAAAGAGGCATTTCACAAGACTCCCACCGAATATAAAAGGGCTGGATTTCAAGGTTGCCAGGATTCTAGGAGTAAATTCTTCAAGCTTGTATTCTATAAAAGTCTCCAAGCAAGTATTGGGGAACTAACGTTTCAAGTTTACTTTATCTAACTCTCATCAAGAGCTAAAAAAAATATAGCTGAAAAAATTACTCAATTACACATTATATCCTTACTACTCATACCCACCAGCCCTCTAAATTTATAGTTGCGCGGTTTGAAAAGAAAAATATTGACAGTACATCTACTAGAATAGCCTTATTTCTTTCTTTCTTTTTTTTTTTAAAATAATACTAGTGCTGGCAAGGATTCAGAGAAAAATGGGACTCTCATTCATTGCTGGTGGAGATGCAGAACGGTACATCTATTGCGGAAAACAGCTCGGCAGTTTCTTAAAAAGTTAAACATTCACATAATATACATATAACTCAATAATAGCACTGGCGAATATTAACTAAAGATAAATGAAAATATATGCTACACAAAAAAACTTATACAAATGTGTATAGCACATTTATCGATACTTGCCAAAGACTGGAAACAAGCCAAATATCCTCCAGCTGAGTCAATAAACAAACTGTGGTATACTCATATAGTGGAACGCTACTCAGTAATAAAAAGGAAAGAACTACTGATACATTTAACATGATGAACTCAAGTGAATTAGGCCGAATGAAAGAAGCCAGATGCATAAGACTCTATATTGTTTGTGATAATTACATATCACAATATAGAAAATGCAAAACTATAAAGACAGAAAATAGATCAGTGGATGCCAAGGCGTGGTTTAAGGAAAGGGTCATTGTAAATGTGTCATTTACAATAAATGTGTCATTTATGACACATGAGGGAAAATGATGTAACGGTTCTATATCTTGATTGTTCGGTGGTTACACGACTATGTGCTTGTCAGAACTTATAGAATTGTACACTATAAAGAGTGACTATATATTTTATGTAAATTATAGCTAACACACCTGCCATTTTAAATAAGTCATTTACTATGTAAGAAAACATTCATCCTTCTACTTAAAAAAATTATTAAACATTTACTATATGTACCAAAGATGGGGGAAACTCTAAAACATTCCTTAGAGTTTCTCTATTTAGCCACTTAAATTGTATCTCCTCTGTACGTTAATCAGCCTAAACCTCTTCCAATAGCTTTCCATTGCAGTGACCACAAAATTTGAATTCCTGGTATTGGCCAGAACAATGAGGCTACTGCCCATCTCTCTAATATTTTCTCCTGCCCCTCTCTTCCTAGCCAATTAGGATCCAGCCATCCAGCCACACAGACATTTTGTCATATGGTCCTGTCATTCTCACTCCTACCGTGGATCACTGAACTTACAAAGCTCTCTACTTACAATGCTCGTTTCTCTAAATCCCCTTCAGGCTGCTTCGTGTTCATTATTGGTCTCACTCTAGTTTCACTTCTTCGGAGACGCCTATAGTTAAAGTAGCAGCCACCTCTGAACCAATTGTTTTCTAGTCCTTTCTTTTAGTTTATTTACTTTTTCATTGCTTTTAACACGACATGAAGAAGTAATTTAAAAATTTTTCTTGATAAGTTTAAGGACTGAATGTTTGTGTCCTTTCAATATTCATATGTTTACATCCTAACCCCAACGTGGCTGTATTTGGAACCTCTAAGGGAGCAATCAAGATTAAATGAGCTCATGAGGGTGGGTAGTATGATCTGATAGTATTAGTATCTCTATAAGACACTAGAGAGCTTGTTCTCTCTCTCCACACATATACGTGATGGAAAGGCCATGTAAGGGCATAGTGAGAAGGCAGCTGTCTACAGTCCTCATCATAAACCAGGTCGGTCAGAACTTGATCTTGAGCTTCCAGGCTTCAGAACTGTGAGAAAATGATTTTCTGTTGTTTAGACCACCCAATCCACGGTATTTTGTAATGGCAGCCAAGCTGACTAATACAGTGCATTTATTGATGTTTTCTCCCTCAAGACTGTCAGCTTCAAGAATGTTGAGGACACATTGGCTTTGTTGTCTAGAACAGTGCCTGAGACATAGCAGATACTTAATGACTACAGGTCAAATGAATGAATGAATGAATGAATGACTGCAGAGCAGCTTAGGAAAATAAGTAGTGATTACAGTACAGAATGGCCAATGCCAAGATGGTGGGAGCATAGAAGATGGGTCCTTGAACTGGCAGGAAACTATGGGGAGAGAACTCAGAGAAGACCGACCATCATCGCATATTTGTAAGTGCTCAGTGAAAGCTTAACTAATATGTGTTTTCTCAGCATGCAGAGGTATTAGTAACTAGGGAAAACAGTCCTTTTCTACAAAAATCATGGTTTGCATTTAAAAGTCTCCTTTAGGTCTCATCTTTTACAAATCTTACTTATGAGGCAGTAAACAGAAAGTCTTATTCGGGGCTCATAATGACATGACAGGCACCCATGACCAATCCACAAAACAGCCTTCTCATTCACCATGCAGAGGTTAACTTCTGTGAGAAACCCAGTTTCAGCTTCTTTTACCAACGGAGTGCATTGTGTATCACAGTTTAGTGCAGCTGGTTTACTCTGCAAAATGTACCAATTGGAGTATTAAAAATGAAAGCAATCGAATTGGATTGACAGGCAGAGTTTACAGAAAATTCTATGGGGAAAACAGAGCAGAAACATAAAGAAACCAGTCAAGGAAACTGATCCGAACAAAGGAAACCCTTGGGGGTAAATTTAATGATTTTTATTCTACCTGCTCTAATCCTATCCATCAAACAAGAATTATATTTCATACTTCCCAGTGAGTTCCAATACAGCTATTCAAGTGAGAGAATCATTTAGAACAGAAAACATACTGGGAAGAACCGACTCAGCACTGTCTTCGTCCTCTAATTCTGGTATTCTGAAATAAGCTCTTCCCAAGTCCAAACATAAACCAGATAAATTCACTAGAAACCCTTGCTTAAGCCATGACAAGAGAGGCTGCTATTGCATCTAAGGCTTAGAGGTACAGTATCTAAAGAAAATATACAGGACCAGACTCCAAAATAAACCCTGCAGAATGAGTTTCCCAATCTCTTCACTTTTTCTTGGTCCCTGCCATGTATCTGTCATGGCTTGAAATGACTTTCAAATGACTGTCACATTAAAAAAAAATCCAAATAAATACTTGAAGCATAGGTGTCATGTTCTTGAGGAACAGAGAAGAGAAAATGGACAGACCTTGCTAGCCATAATAGCAAAACTAAGGTAATTCTAAACATGTAATTCTATGCTTCTGTATTTGGTAATATATGCATTATACTTTGCAAATGTTTCCCTAGAAAACTGGGAATGAATCCTTTAACAAACTATGGTCCTGGGAATAGTTTCCTCTCTTAAGCAATAGTTTTTTGCCAAAATTCACATAACATTATATGTATAACAAGCGTTCCTTTTGTGTTTTGCCCAGTGCTTCTAAATTAGAAGTGATTTTGCTCCCCAGGAGACATGCAGCAGGATCAAGAGAGATTTTTGGTTGTCACAATTAGGTGTGTGTGTGTGTGGGGGGGGCCTGCTACTGACATCTGGTGAGTAAAGGTCTACGGTGCTGCCAAATATTCTACAGCGCACAGAACAGCTCCCACGTTCAAACTTATTTGATCCCAAATGTCAGTAGTGTTGAGGTTGAGAAAGCTTGCCTTAGGAATATGAACTAGTAACTTCTGGAGGGGTGTCACGTAAACCAAACAGCAAATACCAAAGTGGCTAAAACAAGTGAACTGAGCATGGTCTACC